GCGTGCGTGTGTGGCCTGTATGCCTGTGTTGGGGATTGTTGTTTCATAAGCCGTGCCATTTTTAAGTATCTATGCATTTAAATATTTCATTATGTTTTAACGCAGTTGTCAAGATCTGTGATGAAATTACCCTTGAGAATATTAGGTTTACTCACGTAATGAAACCACGAGATCTTCTTCTTCAGTCGTTCCGATAAAGGTCGGCCATTTTATTTCCTTTCAATTTACTTTCTTCCATTACGACAAATTTTTGCCTCAAATCTTTAATTGTTAGAATTGCTCTCATTTTTATAGACGCCATCTTATGAATTTGTCCATTTTAAACCTCTCACCCCATCTCGTCATGTGTTTGCTCATTCACTCTCACAAGGCAGTTAATTATCTGGAAAGACTATTGTATAATCGTATTTAATCGCTTGTTAAATAATTAAAGCACATAAATGTGCCTGTTATTTTCTAGTTCTCCTAAGAACACGAGGAGCGAGAGGAAGCGATTCACTGCGAATATTACTACACCAGAGAACCCACGGTAATGCGCACCAAATTCACTTACTAGTGGCCTTCCCTTGCAATCAATATTACTGAGTACATCGAAAATTGTTTGGGTCCTTATTTAATCCGGCTGAATTCTATCCCCTCTCATAAGATCCAGGAGAGTCTTCTAGTAATCTTTCATGATGATGATGCTTCCTTTTTTTCTGTTTGAACATGTTGGATAGGTGCTAAGTAATATGTTAATTCTTATCCATATTTTATTTGTTGTGTATTACCTACAACATTCTATATATACCTAATTTGGGCACCTCAAGGTGGTGTAATGGTTAGTAAGCTTGTCTCGCTAAAACAATTACAAATGAATAGTGAGTTCGATTCTCACTGGGTGTCCCTTACTTTCGGCTTTGTGCCACATCCAAGGTACGCTTAGGAAATCGCTATATACCTAATTTTTAAATTTTATTACCATTGTTCACCCAACAGAAAACCGTATTCCTACTCGAGGTAGAGGTTTATTACATTAGGTTTTTGTAAGAGCCTACAAAGAAGTAATGAGACATTTATAATACCAGGCTATGCAGAATAGCCTAGACTTAATCGTTTGTAGTGATCAAAAAAGCATTCTTTGAGGAGCGTGTTCCACGAAGCAAACGTTCTGAGGAAGAAGCTGTATGTGTGAATCTTCCTTCTAACCAATGCAATATGAAAGGAAGGAATTGATTAAAGGCACGTGTCATAGTGTGGCCTAGTTGTAAACGTATGGACTGCTGGAACTAAGGAATGTATTCGACCAAATATCTTCCATAAAAATACCGATAGGTTAGTGGGATGCTTGCAAAGTTTTGTCTATGGGAAAGGTGCTGCGTTGTAGAAAATATTTCATCATGCAATTCATACAATATAATATATTTTTAATAAAACTCACTCTTTATCCACTTCTTCATGATGTGGCCGTAAGCCATATTTAGTATGAGAAAGTAACTTTTCACTGTTTCGTCAGTTGTTAGGCGTTTGCTTATTTGATTTTTTAAGCATTTCAACCAAGCATGGCGGTAGTGCCACTAGTATACAGAGAGTGAATGTGTATAGAGGGGATTGAGGAAAGAATAAAAGAAGAACGGGATCAAAGCAATAGAAGATGGCGATTGACGTTGTATCTACATTTTTGGTGATTGTAGTTATCAGAGAAGCAAGTAATAGGAAGGGAGTTCCACTGTCAGGAAGCGCAAGAAGAGAATCCGCTGGAGTAGAAGTGGCAGTTACATTTAGCTGTTTCAACAGTAAAAGGGTGGGAACTACATGCCAATCTAGTAGCACGCTTAAATTCATGTAGTCGAGGCATCAGGCTAGACATCTTGTCAGAACAAGTGCCATGGGAATACTTATAGAAAATACAGCGAGAAGCCACGTCACATCGGTGAGATAGTGACTGAAGTCGAGATGGCATGTCAGGACCGATTACACCTCAGATCCTTCTTTGTATTTTGTCGAGAACTTCGAAATGAACAGCTGGGACTCCAGAACAGATATGGCAACAATATTCAATGCATGGACAGATGGTCGTTTTGTAGATGTGTAAGATGGACTCTGACGAGAAAAATCTTCTGGCACGGCATAGTGAACCGACTTTCCTTGTAGTAGATGCAGCTATTGATTCAATGTAGTTCTTCCACCTCAAGTTATTGGAAAACGTGAGGCCAAGAAAGGGCAGTGAGACACTCTCACAGAGCCAAACATCAAGTATACTGATGGTGGACAGGGAAATTTATCTGCGGCGGTTAAATGAGAGCAGTTTAGTTTTGAAGGCATTAAAATTTACAAGACATTTACTGCCGAAGTTAACTACTGATTGGAGGTACTTTTCGAGAGAAGCGACCATGTTACCTTTGTAAACGCAACCGGATTTACTTTTGAGAAAGGAGTAAATGGTAGTGTCGTCTGCATAAATGCCTACTTGAGAACTGATGACATCAAGAAGACCAGAAACGATGTAGGACCCAGGAAA